TTTTATTGTTGCTATTTTCATTGTCGATGTTCTTGTTTTTGTGTAATTATTACTGTCTTTATTAATATTATTGTTAGTATTGCCACTATCATTATTTTTCATCATTATATTCCTTTGCTGTACTTTTTTATTCATCGATGATAATTGTTATTACTAGTTTACAAGCATAATTCTCATTACCACAATTTTCATAATGACAGTCATTATTATCACCACTGGCTCTTTAGTTTCAGAGTGTCTGCAATTATCATCAGTTAATCTGACAGGCAGAGGTCCTTGGCTGGAAGTCGATCACTCTTCGCCACGAGTCGCTCCCCAAGCAGGGCCAAAACTAACCATGACAATTAATAGTTGCTAATTATTGATGAATAATTATCAGCTGTTAATTAAGTAGGCGATGATTGTTTGCACTCATACATTTTCTGACTAATCTTTCTGTTCCTTTTTCTAGGGCTCTTCTCCAGTCTGATGCGCGACCAAGCCAACATGGCTGGCGACGCTCCCAAGTGGATCATCCTGGACGGCGACATCGACCCCATGTGGATCGAGTCCCTCAACACGCTCATGGACGACAACAAGGTAGGCAAACATATACATACATTCTTTCATCTTTTACACACACACAAAAAAAAAAAAACAAGATCCCTATGAACATGATTTTGTAATCTGAACTTTTATCAATTTTTTTTCTTCCTTGGCTCTCCCTCCAGATCCTGACGCTGGCCAGCAACGAGCGCATTTCGCTGACGCCGCAGATGCGCCTCCTGTTCGAGATCAGCCACCTGCGCACGGCCACCCCGGCCACCGTGTCGCGCGCCGGCATCATCTACCTGAACCAGGGCGACCTGGGCTGGAACCCGTGCGTGCCCTTCGGCCTCTGTTGCCTCGTCCTCGGGCTGTGGCTTGAGGGTTCTTCAGAGGGTTTCTTTTGTCTTTTTCGATGGGTTACTGAGCTTTATTAAAACTCGTTTTTTATTAGAAAAAAGGATACTGAAGTCGAATGTAAATCATTAAGACGCCTGAATATGGGATTACAGTAATATTTGTTTTGAGTTCACACAATTTACTCGAGAAAAAGGTACATCTCTGTCTATTAGTCGCACTAATAATATATGTTAATCCTTTTGGCCATTCCAGCACACAGTAGCTGACCTCGAAATCTCACATGGCTATCCCCTCCTCCCCTTCCAGTTACGTCACCAGCTGGATCGACAGCCGCGAGGTCCAGAGCGAGAAGGCCAACCTCATGGTCCTGTTCGACAAGTACATCCCGACTTGCCTGGAGATCATGCGAGTCCGCTTCAAGAGGATCACGCCTATGCCCGAGATCACGCACCTCATGATGCTGTGTCAGCTCCTGGACTGCCTCTTGACGCCGGAGAGTGTGGCTCCTGACAGCCCGAAGGAGGTCTACGAGCTGTACTTCGTGTTCGCCGCCGTGTGGGCCTTCGGGTCGGCGCTCTACCAGGACGGAGTGAGTAGCGCCCGGGGAGGGAGGGAACTCCTAAGGCACAGCTGTTTGGTTTATTTTCATGACAGAGACAGGTAATATTTGTTCAACCAAACCCTGGCATTTGGTGTTTGAGAAGAATGACAATCACTCTGAGCCCTGTCTCGACAAGGGCCATGAATAACAAGCGCGTCTTTCGCCCAGAACATCGACTATCGCGTTGAGTTCAGCAAGTGGTTCCAGCTGGAGTTCAAGACGGTCAAGTTCCCGTCTTCAGGCACCGTCTTCGACTACTGCATCGAGAAGGAAAACCTCCGCTTCACGCCCTGGTCGGAAAAGATCCCCAAGTTCGAGCTCGACCCCGACACGCCGCTGCAGGTGGGTTCTGGATCTGTAGGAGAGGTCTTTTGCTGGGCTGATGCGTTTAGTCGTAAAGGAATGATGACTTTGGTCCTTTGTTACGTTGCTGATAGGTTTCAGATGACTGCGATTGGCGTTTTGTTTTCGATTTCTTAAAAAAAATATATTAGTTTTAAGTCTTTTGTGAGAATGAAATATGTGTTTCATTTTTTTCGGAAAAATGTGTGTTACTTCTCTGATATTTCCAATTTTCAGGATTAATAATCAATCAATACTTATATACCATGTACAAATTCTATATCAAGACATCAAAATAGAAATACTCCAATTTAAGCTACATCCTAAATTCATTAGGAATTAATCAAAGCAATAAAGACGTAATCAACCATGAAATACTACGTATACGTAAATATTTCCTAATATGAATTAGAAATATATATTTTACTGAAAAGCGAAAGAAAAAATATGATAACTTTCTAGTTTTGTCAGAACACCGGCTTTTAAAATAACCGTATATTTTAATCTTGTTTAACTATTGATTACTTTTTTTTCCAGGAGACAGTATAATCTTGATAAGTATTGTCTGTATATTATTGGTAACATTGCCAGCAACGGCAGTAATTATGGTTGAGATTAATGTGATTTAAAAAGACAGGGAGGTAAGGGAGAATAAAGAGGAAATGAAGAAAAAGAAGAGAAATGAAAGAAACATAGAAGAAGAAAAAAAAATAATAATAAATAGAAAATTAACGAGGAGGAAGAGAAGGAAGAGGAGGAGGAGGAGGATAGGAAGAAAAAAAAGAAAGAAGAAGAAGTAGGAGAAGAAGAAATTGAAGTAGAAGAAGTAGGAGTAGGAGGAGGGGAAGGAGAAGGAAAAGAAGATTGCTAAGAAAAAAGAATAGGAATGTAATCTTTTATTAAAAAACGATAAAGTGAAGAAAAGCAAAGAAGGAGAAGAGATGAAGGAGAAAGAAAGAAAGAAAAGGAAGAAGAAAGAAGAGGAGGAGTCGAAGGAAAACAAGAAGAAAAGGATAAAGGAAATAATAAAATGCTGATGATGAAGAAGAAGATGATCGAGAAGAAGAAGAACGAGTACTAAAAGGAAGAAGAAGAAGAAAAAAAGAAAAAAAGAAGAAGAAAAAAAGTAGAAGAAGATGAAGAGAAAAAAAGGAAAAGGGAATGAACAGACGAACAAGAAAAAAAAAGAAAAGGGAAGGAACAGACGAACAAGGAAAAAAAGGAAAAGGGAAGGAACAGACGAACAAGAAAAAAAAAATGAGGAAGAAGAAGATGATGAAGATAAAGACGAACAAGAAGAAGAAAGGAGGAGATAGATCAAGGGCGGGAAGAAGGGGAAGAAGGGATGAGTTCAGTAAAAAAAGGGAAGGCATTTCATTAACGGAATCTAATGATTGGTAAACCCCTGGTAAATAGATTTTCGATTAGACGATATTACTATTCATTCAAAAGTGACCAGATATTAAGAAAAAATAAATTGCGACGTTTCTTTCACGTGTCTCAACACCTATGCAATTTAGAAGGATTATTTAACGAAAAAATTATTACATGTGGATTCGCGTTCATTTACAGTAATAAGAATCAAACGCGATTAAAGATCACCGAAAAAAAATGATAACATCAGGGAGATTCCTTGCGTTTCTTAGTAAAATGTACTTCAAAAATAAGTGAATACGAAGCAAGAAGGTACAGACATGAAGTTACTTCCTAGCATGTCAAAAGCCTATCTTGGGTCATGTCATAGAGTTCTGCATTGCTTCTGTAATTGCTGCCTGGTAGTATTGTCTAGTATCTGTGATATACTACTTTCCGTTTCAGTTGGATATTTTATCACCGTTTTTATAAAGGACTTTTTTTTTCTTTAATATGTATTTTCACTTTTTCAGATATTTTGCCAGTATGAAATGATTATTCATGTTTATCCTATAATTTTACAGAATTTTGTGTTTGTTATATTACTCTCATTCTCTTTCTCTCTCGTCCTCACTCTCTCTTCCTATCTCTGTCTCACTCTCTCTGTCTTCCTAACGATCTAAGTCTCTGCCCTAAGAAGTAGATAATTGAGGTAGTCTAGTGTTTAAGTAGCAATGAGGTGCATGTTCAGACAGTAGCCAGTTAGCAGCGTTATTGAACCCCGTGTGACACTGTACCCATCCCCAGCAGGATTCTCTCGGTCCTCGGGTGTTGTCGGTGAGTCCTGGTTACTCGCTGTGAGTCCTGAAACCCCCCGACCAACCCGACTCGACCCCCACGTGTCGGTGGCAAAAAATAGGCCTCCGTCGGACAGGTCGTCTGGTGGCGCATCCCCCTCCCTGCATCTCCGCCCCCGACACCCGCCCTTCAGAAGCCCCTTCAGGACGCCGGGTTCATCCTCAAGGAGTTCTCGCTCCGTCGCGTACGACAAACGGTCTAAGGGGCGGGCGCCGCGACTCCTTGAGGGGACTCCCCGGCGCCCTGCATGAGGCTGAGGGGCGGGGCGGAGATGCGCGAGACGCCCATCTGTAAGGCTGTTACTCCCAGCACGCGTGTCCGGCAGCCATTCACTTCCCTGAATGCATGACTTAAAAACCTGCGTCCTTTCAACTGCTCGCAGCACGGAGTCCCAGTCAATTTTCATTTACATATTCTGTAACTACTTCTTCTTAAATAACAAATAAAAATAAAGTTTAAATCAAACTTTCAGCCGAGAAAGGATTATGATAATTAATCAATATACTTCGTCTAGAAGTTAAACAATCATTTTATATAATCAAACAAGTCTTTTTATGATAAGGCATCTATGCGTACGATGTTATCAAAGGCATGGTGCGCATCAGACCATCTTATTCGAAGCAACTGACGACGCCGATCCCTTAAGGTGAAGCTCCTCCTCCGCCGTCTGTCTGGCGCCTGACTGGGCCTCCTTCCCCTAACCCGCATCCGGTGACTGTCCGCTCGATTCAGCCTCTAGATTCCTCGGGAAGAGCGAATGTTCGGGCTGACGTCGACCTCTGTGGATGCCAGTCTTGCCTTAAAGAACTGACACCAACATCGCATAACCAAACGATGCATGGGAATTAAAAGTGCATGGATTAAACTCCCCAGACTCCACAGTTTAGGATTTAAAAAAGACCCTATCCCTCTATTTTATCCTTTCTACTGGAAAGTATAAACCATCCATAATATGGTTTTATCTTCTTATTTCTCCAAGTTTACACTGCGTTTTTTCCTTATTTTCCGTCATTGCTACTATTTTCCATATGCAACTTCCTTCTTCCTGGCACCAAAAGAAATGAGGATCTAATCTTTTTTGTGTTGTTGTTGATTCGCAGGAGAGGCGAAAGTGTATCACAGTGAGTTACCCAGCGAGGAGTTGTTGTTGTACTGTTGCTCTTTTTGTTTCACATACGTGTAGAAATTTTCTCTAGTCAGACGCTAAGTCTTGGATGCAAGGATTTTAACGTATGTTTCATATTTTGAGATCCACGTTAGAACTTTAGAATGAGAGTGGAAATGTATTCTCTTGCACGTATATGCATCCGCGTGTCTCTCTCTCTCTCTCTCTGCCTTGAACAGCATCGACAGAACGAATACACTTCATACAGAAAAAAAACTTGCATTGCCCTTTATGAAATCAACAATGATTATGTTATCAATAGCAATATACTCCAGATCTGAAGCTCCATTTGAAACTAACATCATGTGCTATCCTTCTCTCGAGGGTGATTAACCAAGAAAAAAAGAAAGACTTCTCTTCTCTGCTGTTCATTTCTTCAACTTTCTAGTGACATCGTTTCCCTCTTCCGTTTCCAAAGTTCCTCAAAATCCTTTCCGAAATGATTCCTTTGTCCCCTGCCTTTCCCTTGCCCGTACTGAAGGGAGTGCCTTACAAAAATTGAACGCCACGAAGAAGGTTTCATCAAATTTCTTCTTATTTTGCATTACATCATTTGATGGTTCGTTCCATTGCTTTTATATCAGTGATATAATTTCCTAGGTTAGTCTGAACTAGTTGTGGTAAAACTGTCGAGTCTGTTTGAAATAAACAGTGTCGATAGAAGTGAATGAATATTTTATACGTTATATATTAAGACATTTATTTTTCGCTTATTGGTGGTTATTTCGTTAAACCAGGTTAAACGTACAATTTATCTATTGTCCTATGTCCACTCTGCAGCAAATTTTCGTATGTGTGATCGTCCTCTCTATGTGTTGCTACGTTCCTCAGCATGTCATTTGAAACTGTCTGGTTTATGTGTCCCCCTGTGTAACCATGTCTGTGTCATTTATTAGTGTGTTAAGTCTCGGTTTCTTTTTTTCTTTCTTTTCATGGCATTACAGAAAACGGAACTTAGAGTTTTCTGTTTTCAAAATGTTCTAAGCATAAGAGGCTCATATGAAAAAATATTTTTTTTAACAAAGCAAATACTTTTTCTTTCTCACTTCGTATAAACATCTGAATATATATATATATATATATATATATATATATATATATATATATATATATATATATATATATATATACATACACACATATGTATATATATATATATATATATATATATATATATATATATATATATATATATATATATTAAGTATATATATATATATGTTTATATATACATATATACACACATATACATATATAAGTATATGTATATATATTCAATTATATTTACATATATATGTATATGATACACACACACACACACACACACACACACACACACACACACACACACACACACACACACACACACACACACACACATAGACATAGACATAGACATAGACATAGACATATATATATATATATATATATATATATATATATATATATATATATATATATATATATATATATATGCATATATATATATGTATATATATGTATATATATACATATATATATATATATATATATATATATATATATATATATATATATATATGCATATATATATGTATATATATGTATATATATACATATATATATATATATATATATATATATA